ACCAGCTGTTGTATTTTTTTAGTGCAGCAGAATGTTCCTGTATTCCTGTCCCATGGCCATGAGGCTCAGAGAGGGTCCCTTCCAGGTCTCTGCCTAGCCTCCACCTCACCCCCACGGTGCTCTCATTGGGAGGGGAAGCAGAACAAGGCATTTTAGCTTCGTTTATACTTAATTCATCAGAATGTCATGGGTAAGAGCTATTTGACATCCAAGGCTTATAAGCCTTGAAATTAAGCCTTTCAAAGCCCTTCTCTCTTTGAATCTCCAGTTCCATTCCACCAGTATGGAATGGAATGCCAACAGCGTGCTTCATTCTAAGCTACCATGAACCCACATGGAGGCGCTAGCTAGCCAAAGCAGCATCCCAAGGAGGTGAAATGCAGCTCACTGGGCAATCTTCCAGAGAGCCACCTTTCTTGCCTCTACTATACAGACACAAGGGAGTCATGAGAAATTGGGTAGCAGGCAAAAGGCTGCCTATAGGCCCTGGTTTGCATGAATCTACTTGCTCCCACTCCACCCACATGCCACCTTATAATGGGTTCACCCCTAAAAACACGCCTAGAGGATTTTCACAGGCATGCAAAAAGCATGTCCCCGTGCTCTTCTACATATAGTAGGCTGGGTACTCAGGTCTGCCTATGTGGGTAAGCAGATAGTAACAACACATGAAGAGACCGAGGTTTTATCACACCCAGTGGAGATGGACTTACACTTCTGCCCTTCAGTCCCTGTCACTCCCACATATAGACAACTTCAATTTTCTTCTCTCTAAAGAGGGATTCCTGAGCTAGCCACGAGCCCCTTGAGGGAACAGGAGATTCTCCTTGGCGGCCAGGCTTCCCCTCCTGCTGTTGGAACATGCTCACTGCCCAGGGCAATCAGGTGGTCAGCATGTGCATGCATACCTCTGGCACCTTGTACTTATTCATGCTCCCATTCTGTCCCCAAGTTGTACCTGTGCTTACTGTGGGATAATGTCCGAGCTCCAGGCTAGAGGTCATGGCTCAGGATCCTGCACCCCTGAGAAATCTACAGCTTACTCCATTGAGATGCAAACAGTGCCTTTTGCTCTCCACTGCTGACTGCTGATTGGCTTCAATTCTACTTTATTTGTTTGTTTGTTTATTGTCCTGGGGGAACACATGCCCCATGAGCAAGAACAGCGCACTGAGGGGCTGTGTGATGTACTCAAAAGTCCAGTAAATACTGGATTAAACCAGTGTAGGCAAGGCATGTTCCTGGATTTGTTCAGCCACAAACAGTCCTGCTCACTGTTACCAGGAACACTCCGAAAAGAGCATCCATCAGCACCTGTGCTAGTGATCCGCAAAGCGAGGCAGTTACCTCACTAGGGGAAAGGCTCCCTAGGCTCTGTCTCCACCCAGTGGCTGAGGCAGTGTCATCCAGGCATCCCAGCTGCTCTGCTGCTGACCCTTGCATTTGCCTCACCTCACTATTTGCACCGTGACTTGCTAGTCTCCAGGCCTGAGGCTTTCAGGCTGCAGAGATGTGAGGATGCAGGGCCTCTGGGTACCAAGGCCTGCACAAGTGAATCTGTGCTGCTTGGCTGCAGGTGCGTATAGGGGAAAGAGGGTGCTACAGCTCACACCCACCCCCTGCCTGAGCCTGTGTGATGGGCCTTGTACTGCAACCCCCGTCACTACTGCCTAAGGACACTTTCTCCAAAAGTTCCTGCTGCACAGCCTGGAGTATGGAGGGAGGTGCCAACCTGTGCTCTGAATGCAGGTTTGTTCTCACAGGCACATGCCCCCTTCTCTGCTACTCGGTGCTGTAATAGTTTCATAGCATTTCTGCAGCCAAATGACCCATCAGCTGTGCCTGGCACTCAGCTGTGGCAAGCTCACTTAAGCACTCCCTTCTGTGTGTTTTCCCCCTTGTCTGTGCTGCTCTCCTCCTTCTCACTCCTGTTTCTGAAACCTTTGCCCTTGGGTTCTGTTATCTAGGGAGCCTGGCTGAAGAAAACTCTCCTAGTTCCTACATTTCAAGCACTCTGTGTGTGAATGCGTGCATGCACATACATGCATGTGTACGATCTTACATCTTGACAAACAACGCCTTGCAGAGGAACACTGAAGCCTTAGAAGTGGTGAACAGGATGAAACGGCTACCCAAGCACACACAGCTAGAAAGTAGATAGACTGAGATTTTAGCTTGGATCTGCCTAGCATCAAGATTTATGCTTTCTCATTTCAAGAGCAGTGAAGTCAAAGAGCAGGGCAAAAACCCTGGCTTTGAACTCACAGGCTGTGTGATCCTAGGTAGCAGGCTTCACCTGAGGAAGGACACATTTAGATCTGATGACTTCTAAGGTCCCTTCCCTAGGGACAGTCAATAGTCCCAATGGTCTCACAGGCGGATTGTCTGCTGCCAATAACCTCTAAATTTCCTAGTGCAACTTAGGAGAGGAACCTAAACCAGGGGACAACCCTCAACAAACACAGGAAAGGAGGGGGTTCCCAGTCCACCCACTCCTGCCTAGGGCTGACCCCAGTGGCATCCAGCTAGCCTGACACCTACCAGGCTCTTCGCTTCTCCTGGTTCAGGTTACACTTATCTGACCTTCAGAGATGAAACATATTGCCTGAGGGAACTGTTGCCTCCCGGCCTCGCCAAAGAAGACCCTACTCTCTCTATGTGCTCTCTCATATCTTTACCTTTGCAGATCTAAAATTGGACAGGCACTAGTGGTTTTTCATGAACTCCCATCTCACTCATTAGACCACAGAACCCTGAGAGCAGTGCTCATGGTCATTTCTGCCATTGGGATCTGCAATGCTCCAGGATATCAGGAGGTGTTCAGTAAATATTTGCTGCCTTAATGGGTTAATTACTTATTAATATCATTTTGTCCATAACGAGACCAGAGCAGCAGTGGTTTTTGCATGAAACACGATCTAGAGTGAATTTTCAAATCCCCACCTGATTGCACAAGTCACTCAGGAGACAGACACTTGTCTTTGAGTCCCACGCTCCTCTCCCTTTTGTGCCAGCTGAAGTCACAGCTCATTAGGGGACTAATAAGGAGTTAGCTATGCCCCGACATCACCATCCCTGAAGTCACCCTGCCAAGGCATGGAAGGTGACCTGGGATGCGGATGGGTAGGAGGGTAAAGGAAAGGCCTGGCCTGTCACTTCCATGCCTAGCTGCTGGACTGAACCTGCACACTGGAGTTCAAACCAGAAGACTGTTAGGAAAGCAGCACATCCTGTCTTGGGGGCAGTTTGTGCATCTTCAGTAGTGGGAGTGTCCTGCCCCAGCATGCACCCCGCCCCCCCAGCGAAGATGCCCTAGGGTTCACAAGGCCCTCTGAGAAACTTTCAGTTGCCTAAATGTGGTCTCTCTTGGCCAGCAAGGCCTGGTTTGTGGCCCAGAAGAGTCAAGATGAGAGATGTTCTGAGTGCTTCACCATTACCTGAAGGATTACAGTCTAGACCGTCTGCCAGGTAAGCTCCTAAGCCAGGCTTTCACCTCTGCTCTCTCCACACAGAAACCTCACTGCTCCTAGTGCACACTTAAGGAGCACTCACTGAGCTCTTCAGCTAATGTTTTTATTCTTGAAGATTAGAACCTTAAAAATTCATCATAGATTTCAATCATACAAATTCAGTAAGTGATTTGGAGTTCAAATCCTGGCTCTGTCTAGTACTAACACCATGGCTTCCAATGAGTCATTCAAGCACACTGATCTTCAGATGGCTCATTTGCAAAGTGAGGACCACATGGAACTCAAAGGCATTTACTATAAAATTTACTTGATTACTTTTCTCTATCTATTTGTAAGGCAGTGACAGAGAGAGTTAAAAACAGAGACAAAGAGAAGCATCCACATTTTCCAAAAGCCTGCAACAGCCAGGGATGAAGCCAGGAGCCCAGAACTCAACCAGTCTGATCTCCCACGTAAGTGACAAGAACCCAGTAACTTGAGCTCTCAGTGCTGCCCCCCAGTTCTCCAAAAGTCAGTGTATTAGCAGCATGCTAAAATCAGAAGCAGAGCCTGACTACTATGATACAGGGTGTGGGCATCCCAAGTTAGGTTTAACTGTTTTGCCTAACGTGAGCCTCCACCAAAATGCATTTGAGGATTTGAAATGCAGCATACAAAGCACCTTGCACATTGGAATAAGCCAGGAGTGCCTTCCACCCTTAAAGGACCGGTGTTCAAGGTCACACTTGAGCATCAAGGTTTCGCTCTCCGCACTTGGGTCTTCATCACTTATCCTGATCCCAAAAACTCAGTTGTGGAGATATTTTGAGTGACTGGGAAATGATTTCATTAAATTTCACAGTAGCTCACCGTGTATACAGAGACAACAAGAGGTGTCCCTGAGGAAGAGCCTCTGATACACTCGCTCTAAGCTGACGGAAGACTGACATCCACCGTGCTCACCTGCATGCGAATCAAGTCTCCACGTTCATCTTGACAAGCTACAGCTTGGCCAGACACAGCACACCCCCAGTCTGCACAAGGACACGAAGGACAGCGGAAGAGAGTGCAAGAAGTAACAAAACCACCGTCACTGCAACCAACTTCTCCGGCAGGTGGTCCCTTTCCCCTGTTGTTTAAATACATATCCCTTGATCTTTCTTTTTGGCATCAAAGCTGGCAATGTGCATGTGTTCTACCCTCCAAGTGCCAGTCCAGTTTTGCCAGGGAATGCTAACAAGTAACAAAATCATCAGAAAAAATAAAGTTGAGATCACCTCCAAAATGAAACACAAATGCCTAACTCATCCTCATTACTAAAGTGTCCATGACTTTTTTCCAGGTGGACTGGGAGAACCCAGGGTTCGGCTCCTGGTAGTCTTATCCAGCAATGTCTAGCAACAGTGTCCAGCTCCCTAAGGAGTCGGGGGAATGAACAGATGAATACATGAGAAATGTACAACTGATTTATTGAACTCACAGCATAACTCAACATCATCCCATTGCCCTCCCACTGCACCCATGTGTCCAGATCACATGTTGGCTCCTTACCCTGGCGATCAGTTCCCCGACCATGCCCGTCCAGGTGCCGTTGGCTTCAGGAACACCGTACACACCATCCCCGACCAGACGGATCTTGTAGTTGAACCGGAGGATCTCTGCCAACTCCTTGAGCATGTCCACACAGAAGCCCTCGTAGCGGTCATTGCCTTCCATCTCCTGGTGGTTCCCCTTCAGCATTAAATACGGGTTTTCCTGCAGCAAAACTGGGCAGCTGTCATTCTCATCTTAGCCTTGGTGTCTCAGCCATACATGATGGACAGGGTCGGGGCACAGGAAATAGGGGAGGAAGTAGGGTAGGATGGCAGTGGCCTGGGAGGTGGTGATCAGGCTCTGTCCTCTAACCCACTGCTTAAAGTTGCCCTGTGAGGTATTTCCTCACCAACATACAGGGAGTAAACCACCGCATAGGGAGTCAAGACGAGGCCTCTCTATCTTGTTTTAAGGTCAACATCTGGCCCTGTCCTCTCTGTTTTTCCTTTCTTTTGATTGTTCTACATAGACCCATTGCTGAGCAATCTATTGTGCAATGATGCTTACAATCCAGTAAGCCAGGTAAAAGCATGTGTACAAATAACTGCACCTGAAGGCAGAGTGCACTGGGTATATGGGCAGGCCTCTCCACTAAACCCCCAGAGAAGAGAACACCAAGAGAACAGCACTTTCAGGGCCATCATTTCAGGGAGAAGAGGGGTTGCCTACTCAGGACCCGATGGCTATTCCAGCTTGGTTGGAGTAAGGGTTGCATGGAGAAGTGGGTAGGAGGAGAAATTTTAAAAGATGAATTAGGGCAAACAAGGGCCTTGAAGTCAGGATGATGTAGGCACACATCCAGATTTTATCTTTTTTTAATGAAATATTTATGTATTTATTTGAAATGCAGAGTTATACTTTCAGAAAAAGAGAGAGAAATGGAAAGAGAGTGTTCCTCCAATATCTGGTTCATTCTCCAAACGACTGTAACAGCCAAGGCTGGACCAGGCCAAAGGCAGGAGCCTTAACTCCATCCAGGCCTCCTACATGGGTGCAGGAGTCCAAGCACTTGGGTCATTTTCTGCTACCTCCCTGAGTGTATTAGCAAGGAGCTCAACTGGAAGTGGAATAGCCTGGACTCGGACCAGCACTCATATGGGGTCCTGGCATCACAAATGGCTATGCCATGATGCTATCCAAAGCAGCCATGTTTTAAAAACTAGAGGCTAAGAGTGAGAGTGTTGTGAGGTAAGGTGTAAGAGAGGCAGCATCCAGGAGGGAGCCCAAATTACCTCCTGACAGGAGCTGCCAACTCCCAAGCTGCTTCTGGCTCTGGATTTGTTGGAACCAGCTGGAAGGACATAAGGGAAATAGGAAGGCATAGGCTTGAGGACGAGTTAGAGGAAGGTATAGAGGGCATGGGTCTGCAGAGGAGGGGGCACTGTTTAGAGGGCTGAGGATGGATCCTCCTTGCCATGAAGGGAAGAGCATTGGTGTGTGTTGAGCTGGGCATGCTGGCAGGCTACCTAGAGGGAATGGCAACTGGGGGCTTACAAGGTAGATCAGACAAGGGAGGTCTCTGTGTGGAGGTGAAGGCTGAAGCTTCCTTGAGGGTGGCATTGGAATAATGGAGAAAGTACAGAGAAGAACTAGAGGAGACCCATTGAGGAGGCCCTGATTTTACAGAGAAGAATGGCAAGCAGCCCTGGAAGGTAAAACAGCAGCACCAAAGGTTGGCATGCGGGAAGTGTCGTCCCATGTCAGGGTTTAGATATCTGAGGGAGGTAAAGGTGGTAATCTCCACACATGGACTACACAGGCTGTGAGAGGACAGCTAGGTCATATATCACATGACTTTACAAAGACAACTGCAGAGGATGGAGGGAGGCACTGAATTCTGTCAGAGTCAGGGATGAGAGGGGACCAGCAACAGCATGGGACAGCATGACTAAGGGTGGGACATCTGCCCTGACTGCCTGTACTACCTGCCAACAGCAGGGCTGGGGAGTCCCTAAGGCCTGCCAATTAGTCTTACAGATTGGAGCATAGTTTGAAGGGCAATGGGATAGGCAGAAAGAGAATCAAGCAGGAAGATTTCTCCTGAGGCTGGATGTAAGGCACTGAGCAGGGGTTTGGATGCAGAGAGGAGGCGAGGGGGCAGGAGCTGAGGGAGGCCTGCCAATGCCTAGGGTGGTGCTGAAAGTGGAGCAGGCAGGAGAGAAGGCCAGCGCATGGGAAGTAGGCAACACTGCTAGAGAATGCAATGCGGAGGGAGCAGTGACAGCCACAGGGGTCAACAAGGTCTAGCCAAAGGGAGAAGGAGGCTGAATGCAGACAGACAGCTGGGAGCAAGGTTCATGCAGTCACCAAGTTTGGGGACAGGTTCTCAGGGGAGATCACTGAGCCCAATGGCAGAGATTATTCTAGAAGCACAAAAAAAAAAAAAAAAAAAAAGAGAGAGAGAGAAGTGTGCAGATGCTGAGCTCAGGCTAGACAGGGATCTGGGAGGCCATGGAGGAGCAGTGTGATGAAATGAGAAGGTGAGAGGTTCTGCATCAGGAAGCAACAGCTTCAAATTGGAAGTGATGTGGCTCTGATCCATGATGCAGTCCTGTGTGAGGTCAACAAGAAGAGCCAGTCTCCCTGCCTCCCCCAAGTGCTGTTCTCAGCTCAAGGGCTTCCCCCTGCCCATCTCCCACTGAATCGAGCTCACCCTTGTCCTTGGAGTCAGCCTGTCTCCTCCTATCCAGCCCACTTCTCTGGGCCAGGCTTCCCATGACTATCCTGCATGGTCATCTTCTTTGCACCTGCTCCTGTGCAGAACAGGAACAGGGCCTGGGACTGACTCCACTGTGCTTCTCCCACTGTATTCAGCATTAGGCATTTACTCAGTGGTGTGAGTGACATGGCTGTGCAAACATGGATTGGCTGGGGGAATTTCCAATTGTGAGGTCCCAGAGTATCTTTAATGATTCCAGGAGCTGATGGAAAATTTTCTTCCCAAATACTCTCTACTCAAAATTCACTGACAGGGAGCCAATGGTGTAGCAGGTAAAACTGACATCCCAAATGAACACCTACTCACATCCTATCTGATCACATCCCAGTTCTGATCCAACTCCATGCTAATGTGCCTGGGACAGCACTAGAGTTCAAGTGCTTGGGCCCCTGCACCCATGTGGAACAAACAGAAGATTCTCCTGGCTTCTGGCTTTGGACTGATTTTGCTCTGGCTATTGCAGCCATTTAAGGAGTGAACTAACAGAGGCAAGACATTCATTCATTCATTCTCTCTCCCTCTCCCTCTCTTCTTTGTCATTCAGATGGGCAGAGAAGCTGAGTACTGCTCTGTTATACTCATTGGTGTTGAAGGAACCCAAGATAACGTTATAGCAACATGCTTAACACGAGCCCAGCACATAAATTATGTGTTTGCTGATAATAATGAGATTATCCACATGTCGCTAATGTATCCTATGTGTACTACAGTCAGCACAGGTGTGTGCTGGGCTTTAAGGGAGATACCATTCAGAATCACCATGCACCACTGAAGGCCCATGAATGGTCACCAAGACGCTAAATTAGTCTCACTGTTGCTGTTAAGAGTCACTGACTAGCATCAGACATTCAGATATAAGCACAGAACCAACCAGACCAGCTGTAGTGACACCTGTCTGGCTGCTAAGTATCACTTCCTGTTACATAGGCCTGCCCACACCCCATCCCCAGGAACACATGTATGTGTGTAATAAGCATGCATGCACATGAGCACACACAGAGACACACTTACAGAAACATGACCCTGTGGTCTCAGTATAAGGTCTGTGTCCAAGCTCCAGTGGAAATCTACACCCTGGGAGGCAGACACAAAGCCAAGCAACTTCTTCCTCTCCCTCCCAAACCCTCCTTAGTTGTTAAGGACCTACCCTGTAGAAAGGAATCACTTCTCTTCAGTTCTAATTCTTAAGCGCCTGGTCTGGGGCAGGCAGCTGTCATTGTAGAAGGGAACGTAGACAACCACACACCAATCTCAAATAGGAAAGATGTGCAGGAAATGCCAGACACACAGGGTGGGAAGGAGGAATTCATGGAAGAGGTGGTCTTGAACATGCAGTCATTTCCAGTTACAGAGAAGAATTAGAAAAAGAATACTCCAGGCAGTGGGAACCACGTGTGGGAAGTCACAGAGGGGCACGGTACAGTGCGGAAAAGAGCAATCCAGCATTGCTAGACGCAAGGCTGGAGAGCAGGTGGGCAAGCGGGCCTGATTACATTGGGTCTCTAACCCAATCTAAAGGGCAGGCACAGAAGGATTGTAAAGCTGAAAGTGCCACAGTAATTCTGACACTACAGGAAGGCTGGTGGACAGACTGAACAAGTGAGGAAGGAGCCTGCAAGGGGACCACAGGGGCCTGAGTTACGGAACCCGGAAGAAGACAGGCTTCCAACAGTTTTCCAGATATGGAAGACATTGCGAGAAGGAGGTCCTAGCAATCACAGTGTGTGCTGCCCCATCACCCTGAGGAGCTCAGAAGGCTGCCCCCATCTCTCAGCTAGAATGAGGACAGTAACTCCATCTGACTTCCCTGACATTTCACATTGCCAAAATGACCTAAGTGGCCACAGAAGGGGCCAGGTACCGGGACTGCTCTGCCCACCCTTTGATCCTGCGGTCCTTGTGTTCCAAGAACTCACAGACAACCTCCTGGCCCTTGCCTCCTCCATGAAGCCACTCTGATCTCCTGCGCCTTAAAACCACCTGCTTTCTCAGTACCACCCCACTTTCCCCAGCTTCACCTTTTCTCCAGAATCCAAAAGTGGAGTATTCATAACCCAGAAACTCCAAGTCTGAAACTTTTTGAGTGTCAACATGATGATCAAACATGTGGGATTTTTCAGATCAGGGTGGCTTCCCTGGTAACATATTTTTGAAAATATTCCCAAGTCCTAAAATACCTGAAATCAGAATCTATCCTGTCCCAAGTAAGCATTGGAGACAAAGCATCTGTAGCTAGTATTGGCTTCTGTTTGTCGCCACTTCTGCAGTGGGACACAATCTCCTCACAGGCACAGCCGGTGCTTTCCCTGGCTCACAAATGAGGGCTGTGAACCTAGGGTGGTGCCAGGCATACAATGGCATTGAATAAACTACTCATCCATCGAGGAAGCAAGAAATGAAAGACATTCAAAGGGCCCTGTCTCCCAGCAAGTAGAGAGAAAGCCCCATGGCATGGGGTCTCAGTCCTAACACCTGGGACCCACCACAGTGTCCTCACCATGTTTCCCTGACTGCCTACTCATGCCCATTTCTGGATGGAGCCCGTACTTTCCAGCATTTTTGGGACACACAGCAATGTTCTCCTCCATTTGATTATTCCCTGTCCTACATGGCATCTGCCCTCCAACATCTACCTGAAGTACCCTTCCTCCAGCTGACCCTCTCCCTCTCCTGCAGACCTCACAGCCCCCACTACGCCTGTGTGCCTCTTGGCTGGCTTTACCTCACTATGCTTACAGGAGGACACGGATTCCAGCCAGGACTCCTAGGCCCAGGAGATCATGAAGGCAGCAAGGGAGGAGGCATCTGGGCTCTTTCATTATCTCAAAAGATTTGCAAGAAGTGGAAGCATTTGCAAACCTTGCACATTCTGCTGTGATAAGAGCGGGCAGGCTAACCCAAACATCGTCTCTGGGCTTTGCGCTGGAATGATATCAGTATGGCAACACTGGCTATCTCCTGCTGATAAGATGCTGTGCTGGGCAGGGAAATACACTTTCGATTAGCTATGAGGGGAAAGGAGAAAGGGACAAATTAATGATCGCTTAATACATGAAGCAGGTTTAACTGACAGATCTTAAAACATGAGTTCTTCTCCAGGGAAGACAAGAAATACCTTGGCTGCATATGGATGGAACTATCCCATCTACTAAATTGTAATCTTTTTGTGAATTGAGACTGAGTTCTGCTCATTTTTGGCCACCAGGACTGTGTACAGTAGCTGGCACGTAGCAGGAAGCAGTGAAGGAGGCCCTGGTAATTATTAAATAGAACTACATCAAATGAAAAAAGGCAGATGGTCCCTTGCCCTACAGATGAACTGAGAATTCTCTTTCCACCATCTGGAAAGGAAGAAATGTGGCAAGCAGATCCACAGTCTGAGCTGTGCACTTGTGGGTGTGGCATAGCTAAGAACCCCATTTGGGGCCCAGCAGGTAATCAAGCAAGATGGGCTGCTGGGAGGGCGTGGGGACTACCCCAATGGGCTGGATCTGGCTTCCTGTATCTCCATCATAGCCACCCCTACCCCTTCCCAAGGGTTGCACAGCTGTCCTGGGCATCAGGGGGCCCCCTGAAAGAGGCATCCACAGACGTGGCGTCTGTCTCACTACCCCATTTCTCTTCTCCAGCTGCTTTGGAACTCATCAAATATCATTTCCATATGAAACAGCAACTTAAGTGTAATTACACCATCATAAATTGGCCTCGGTGCTGTGATTAGTGCTCCCATCTTCTGTTCCCTGGGAAGCCCTGTGAATGCTCAGGGCTCGGGAAGCGCCCTGGGGAGCCACAGATGGGAGGCCTGGGAGACCCCGCTTACCAGGATGGTGGTGACAACCAGCGTGGTGTTGAAGAGACTGTCCGAGATGTTGGAGGCATAGAGGCGGCTGTCCATGCTGAGGCCCTCTGCCACATGCCACTGGCCGATCTGAGGAGACCAACAGAGACAGAGGGCTGGGAAGAAATGGACCAAAGAGGAGGTTGGGTGGGCTGTGGGTTCCAGGGTTGGAAGGAGCCCAAGGGGCCAATCGCCTGCTCTGGGTTGGGACTGCTAGTGGGCCCAAGGAAGAGGGAGATTTGTAGGGTATGGAGCAGGGGAGCTGGAAGAGGAGGGATCTGTGTAAGTAAAAGATGCAAGGAATGAAGACTTGGAAGAGGTATATAGAAAATCAATCAGGAACAGATTATGGTTCAGGGCTTCCCTCAGATGGAAGGCAGAGGACTAGAGGGAACTGTGCTGTTCTGAGGGCAGGAGTGAGCACATGGCCTGCCTTCAGTAGCCCCACTGACCTGCATGAGAAGCAGAATGGCCTGGAGAGAAAGGATACACATGGATATCTTTGCTCTATGTCTGCAGAGTGGTTGTATGAGTGAATGAGTGGATGAATGGATGGATGATGGGCAAGAAGAAGGAGAACTCAGGTTCTAGTCCTGGTTGATTCCCTTGCTAGCTGTGAACTTACACAAGTTACTTAAATCTCTGAGCCCTTGCTTTCCCATCTCTAATGGATGAAAATGCTTGCCACACCTCTGTGGTCAGCTCAGAACATGTCTTAAATCATAAGTCTTCACCCAGACCTTACTGCAGAAGCTCAGAAAACTCTCTGAGCATGTTTCTTCATCTGTGAAATGGGAATGATGACAGAAATTTCTATGAGTCATGAGAATGTATTTAACCTGGCACTTAATAATAATATTTTCAAAATTTCAAAACAGGCATTTAGTCCAAGTACCAACATTTCATGCCTGTGTTTAATTCCCAGCTTCCTTATGCTCAGCTTCCTTCCAGTACAAACCTTGCAAGGCAGTGTGTGACAGCTCAGGTAGTTGCTTTACTACCATCTGGTAGGAGTTCCCAGATCCTGACTCCAGCCCTGACCTTGCTCCTCCCATTACAGTGGCTGAAGAGCAAGTCAGTGGTTGGGACTCTCTTTCTCTCCTGTAAATGGATGACTTTTTTTCTTGCTTTATTTTCTTCTGAGTTTATTGTGGTACAAACACTATTCTCTCAACAAATGTTTACATATGCAATACATTAGTGCTGATTGTCCCATTATCCTAAACACCTGTGTGTGGGGACAGACAGTGCTCAGAAAGTTATCTAGAACACATTTAAGCCTAAACTCAAGATCAACGATTTTAAGAAAAATTTTATTTTACCTTTATTTACTTAAGAGGCGGAAGAAGAGAGTACTGCCACCCACTGGTTCATTCCCCAATGCCCTCAAAGGCTGGGACTAAGCCAGGGCCATGGCCCTTAACTTTATCAAGCTGGCAATTCCATCCAGGTCTGCCACATGAGTGAAAGGAACCCAAGTACCTTAGCCATCAGCTCTGCCTCCCAGGGCTGGCATTGGTGGGAAACTCAAGTTAGGAGCTGGAGCTGAGAGTCAAAACTAGACACTCTGAAGCAGGAACTGGTTTCTTAACCACTAGCCTAAACGTCCATCCTGGCAGTTAGCTTTTAGGTTGGTTTTCCCAGTAAAATTTTTTCTATATTTTATAAAAATGCAGAATATGCAAAAATTACTTTTAAATACCTCATAATAAAAAACATAAATGCTACGTGAATATGTAATCCCATACTTTAAGCTCCTACATATCTTTACTAGCTGGAGCCTCTGGAACATTCCTTGTATTGCTTTGTCCAAACTGGACAGCAGGAGAGCTGGCAACAGCTGGCTGGAAACCCAATGAAACGCCCACATCCACCCCTGCCAGCATCTCCAGGCACTGGCAGCAGCTTCTCTGGAAAGCTCTCACAAATTCCATGCATGCCAAGTGACTCTAGTCCTTGGAGCTGGACCCTGGGTTCTCTTACAAAGGCTTGAGCAATAATAAAGCTGGGGCTCCCCCAAAGTTCCTCCACCCCTATCTCTGACAGAGGGTATAGGAACCAGTTCTCTGCCGTCAGGGTGAAGGTGGAGTGTGTTGAGGGCAGGACCAACCCAGGTCCACCCTGGAACTCTAGGTGGGAGTCCTCTCTGACCTCCAGTTGCAGGCAGGAGAACTAGGGTGGGCCTTTCCGGTCATAATGGGGTGTTGATATTCGTGAATACTCCATGCCTAGGCGAGGATGCCACAATGAAAATGGTGAGCAGTCCCCTTCACCTCTATCAGGGTAGAATGATGCTATACATGCTCATGTTTCTTTTGGTTTGCAGTGAGAGCCATTTTACAGATAAAGAGAATGAGGCCAAAATCAAAGAATTGACCCGACTCTCCTAGCTGAGGACACATAACCTGTTGACCAGGTTGCCTGAGTTTTAAGCTAAGTGCTCCTAGCTTCACATGACTCTTCTCAAGGAAGACTGCACGCCCATCTTGACTTCGCCAGGGTTCTCTTACATACTTGTGCTTACCTGTGCATCTCCTCCCCCAGTCTATGGGACTCGCAACAGCAAGGGCTGGCCTTCTTCATGCTCATACCCTAGAACCCTGCTCAAGGATGACCTAGGAAAGTGGATGGCCAATGAGCTGACCACTACAGTGGGTCATATATGGGCAGAGAGCAGACAGCCTTCCTCAGGGTCCAGAAGCTCCTACAGTCTTCTAAAGGGACCAGCCAAGCCATGCCATTGCCTTAGCTTCCTCTACCCCTTCATCTCCTTGTAGGAGAGGGAGAGGGCATGAGGGCTGAGCTGCTGGATTTCCAAATTAAAGGAGAGTGGGTCATAGTCACTGGGCCTCTGCATCACATTCCATCATCTCTGAGAGTTCTCCCATCACTCCTTTGGAATAGTTCCAGTGTCTCTTTATTTAGAAAGAAATGGCTAGAAATGATGTTATGGTTCAACAGGCTAATCCTATACGCTGTGGTGCCAGCATCCCATATGAGTGCTAGTTTGTATCCTAGCTGCTCTACTTCCTATCCAGGTCCCTGCTTAAGACCTGGGAAATCAGCAGAAGGTATCCCAAGTGCTTGGGCCACTGCACCCATGTGGGAGACCTAGAAGAGATTCCAGTCCCTGTCTTTGGATCAGCTCAGCTCTGGCCATTGCGACCAACTGGGACCAGTAGATGGAAGATCTCTCTCTCTCTATTTTTACTCATCTCTGTAAATCTGACTTTCCAATAAACATAAATCTTAAAAAAGAAAAAAGGAAATGGGGACTCAGAAGGATTAACTTGTCTGAAGTGATCCATATCTGAATCTGAGCCCAGCCCTGTCTGACTTTTAAGTTTGTGGTTATTTCAGTCCCTAGAGTGTCTCTTAGGGTGGGGACACTAATGTGCTCTCTTTCAGCAGACTACACCAACCAGGTGTGGCTTCAAGGGCCCTGGCCACTCAGGAAGAACCACAGAGACATAACTTCTTCCCCTTAGCCTTAACAGTGCATAAAACTAGGTGAAATGATCCTCCTCCTGGAGCCTCAATTTTTCTGTCTTCAAAATGGGTAGAAGTTTCCCCTGATCGTCTCCTAGGCCGGGGAAGGGCCATATTTGGACAGGACGAACTGGAAGAGCAATGGGCTAGACATCAACGTTTGGATGTTGAGAAGATTAAATTCTCTAGAGTCTTCTTTGTCACCTTATGCCCACCCTGTGTACCAGTAGGGTAAGACTTCACATTTACCGGCACATTCTCCCACCTCCAACATTTTCAAGAGACCTGCCGCTCACTAACCACCTACTCTCCCCAGCCCCAGACGCCTGATCTTAACCTAAGCCACAAGCCAAGTTTCTGCAGAAGCCTGGGATTGGGGCCAGACCTGACAGCCTGAGCAAGGCACCCTTCTGGCCCCACCCTCGGGGACATGGCAAAGAGACTAATTAGCCCCCAAGCTCCAGTCAGGAAACGAAATCTCTCACCTACCCTTTCACTGCCCCTAAGACATTAATAAACTCATCAGATCCAACAAAGCGGCTTGGCAGCTATTACCAGGCACCATCTAATTGCAAAGGCAGTGGGAGGGAGATGGAGAGCCAGAGCCAGGCGCCCTGGGATACGGGCTAATTGCTCCACCCACTGGGCACCTCTAAGTACCACACGTGCCAGGGGTGGGCAGCAGATACAGCTCTCATCATTGACAATCTGTGGCTGTGCCTCCAGCCAAACCCCCTTGCACCACCCTGCTGACACCTGCCCCCGAAGCCTCCTACAGGAACAGCTGTTTTGTAAGTAGCTTCCGCATGCCCATGTATGCAGCCTGGATTTCACTCCTGGTAATGCCTCTCCTCTCTCCCTAGTTTGTCTGCCCAACTTGCTCACGGGTAGAGGCCACAGGCTTGCAATAAAGACAAGAAGACAAGATGGATTTGGATAGGTGAGCCTATTTGTCAACTTTGTGCAGATAAGAACAAGGTGCTCTGCTTGGGCAGATGATGTGGCCCTGCCACTGCACAGCTGGGAGTGCAAAGTGCAGGCTTGATATCAGCCTTGACCTGCTCACCTTGAACATGACTTGCCCTGCACCACCAAAGCAGTGGCCTGGAAGTTGGAGGAGCTGGTTTTTCCCCAACAGAAGCTGTGTGATCTCAAGAGAGCCTCAGCATTTCCCATCTACAGAATGGAGCTAAAAATAGTCACCATGAGGGTTCTTAAGATTAAATGAGATGGTTCAAGTGCGAAGTACTATGAGATTTCACCCATGTTCTCCAAAGAGCTTCACACCGTGGACTAGAATTCATTACACAGATTTCACCAGCATCATAAAGGTTGGTTCGCAGCCCAGCAATAGCAGCAATTGAAATTCAGGCACTTGGGCTCCATATCAGTCCCGACTAACCCAGAATCTGTGCTGAAGCAAGTCCTCCAGGCTACCATGAGGTGGGCTGTGCTATTAGGGGGAGGTGTACAGAAAGAGCAACCCTGATGAGAAATACGGCAACAGGGCAAGGCAAGGGTGTGGAGACCAGTGGTGACATACCAGCCTATCATTTGGAGGTCGGGGAAGGGTGAGCAAATGTCAAAATGTGGGGAAAGAG